AAGCTTACGAATTATTGTAAACAATAATCTTCAATATCTCAATTATATTTTTCAATTCGACAATCTTTAATTGAACATTGATAACTTGGGCTTGAATAATGGCAGCTTGAACTTATAATAAGCCTGTAATTGATTCAATCGATTCAAATACAGCTTGAGTGATAATGAAGTATGCAGCGTTTGGATTATTGAATAGATCTGTAAAGAGAGAGATATCGGTTTCGATAGAATTGAGAATATGATTCAAGAAAAGGAACTACGGAGGTAAGCTAGATGCAGGCGTTTCTGGTATAAATGCTTGTTCACCTATTTTCAATACTTTTTGAGGCTCAAAACATCGGCGACAAGGTATACAATAGATCAACAATGAATGCAATCGATGCGATTGAAATAAGATGTTGGTGGGGCTTTGGAAATAAAATAAGAAATAAAGCTGTAATAATTTATTTGAAGATAATATAAATTATCAAGGTATAGGTAAAGACTTATATTGTATTATAAGAATAGAAGAGCTATAAAAGAGTGAAGCTCTACTTATAGGAAATAGGGCGTACTAGTATGCTGTGCCTGAGGCACGAAGGCAACTACAGATCATGTAGTTGGCGCCGTGACACTTAGATAATATAAGCTTATATATCTTTCTAATAAATCTTCTAGTAATATAAATCAAATAAATAGAAATTATTGGGAATCTATTATTATTCGCATTTAATTTTTTATATATCTATTAAACAAATCTATATAGGTTAGAGTGAATGTTATCAAACTCTTTTGAATTGGGAATATATTTACTTAATCGAGTGGTTGAAATAGATATAGTAAGTTCGGGAATAAAGTTAGTGAGAGTTTTAGGGAATACAGTTTTCAAATGAGTAGATATAGTAAGTGTAGATTTGGTAAGACAATCGAATAAATAGGCGTTTTGAGTAGTAACTTGTTTGTGCAGAGCGGTTTGAATATATTTGTAGATTAGGAATTCGGAAATTTCGTATTCAAATAATCTGTTAATCTTCTTCAGTTTGATATAATACACAGATGCTGACTGGAGATATTGATATCAAATCTGGGGGTCCTTCAATACAAAAACACTAAATTCCAAGGAGTCCCTAAACCAGCTAGACAGGTGTGGAATAATTATTGCAAAAGTGATATTTTAATAGATAAAAGCTATATAATATTACAAAATAAATAGACTAGATAAAGTTCTAATAACTTTGCCCTAATTTGATAAGACTATATTGATTTGAATAATAGATTTAGATTGAGAATTAAAATATAGTTCAAAGAGCTACAATATAGGATCTTCTGAATTGAAAATATATAAAATTCTCACAGCGAGCTAGCCCGATCGGGCTCTAGCTCGCTTGCGCTCCGGTGCGAGCGTTCCTTTCGGTCCTCTCCGATAGGACTAGCATATCACGTGAGCTCACATCGTGACAGTATGTCGTAATATTCGGGTTCATCTATATATCAAGTTGACCCTCACATCCACTCATGACATGTGTACGAATAAGCGCCCATATTTTCCATCAATGCTTAGAAATAAAGTCAAATATTAGTACATTCATTCGACCAGTCTATATTCATATATAACTATTCTAGTCTCTCCACACTACATCCCTCGATTCATTCATTTATTTCCCACCTCATCATCCCACTGCCCCCTAATTTTTTCTCCCATCAACATTTCCCTTACATTCATCCTCGCACTCCAAACCACATTTTCCGTAACCCCCTTTTCTCTCACATCCTCCTTCGTACTGCCCACCTTTTGAATATCCGAATCTCCACCTATCCAACCTCTGGCTTTATGATGTTGAAAGAGCCCTGGCGTAACACTTATACATCTCATTCCCAGTCTCCTTGAATCCCGTCCCCATCTACACAATCCTGCTAATGCATTGTCAAACGGTCCTGCTAATTTATCCACACTTAAGTCCCAGAGTACCTTTCTTGCGCCTTGTTGACTCAGCGCATATGCGAAAGTACAGATAGGACCTCCACTTATGTGAACCCATCGTGTGTAGGGATTTTGTGTGGCATTTTGGAATCCTTTGAAATGCATCGGAGGTGCGACAGTAGGATCGGAAGTTATAATATATTTGCGGGAGAGATGTGCGATTTCAGGAGAGGAGGGAGAAAGCGATTTATATTCGTCGAGAGTTTCGGGGAATACTTCGCCGCAATGACCAAGCCAGAGTAAATCCCAATTATCACCATAGGGAGAAACAAGATTTGAGGGTGTAGTGGAGGAATATTGAATGAATTTGGAACCGGCTGCAAAGGTAACGAGTTGAGATTTTAAACGGGTATCCCAGTCCATATCATCTTCAAAGATTAATGCGCTTGTGAGATTTTGTTCGACAATCCTAAGTGAGCAGACGCACATTAGCTTTTATACCAATCAGAAAGAAGTGAATGAAAATGAAAGAAAGGCATACCTCCGAACAGCATTCATGTGCCCCCTCCAACTTCCCAAATTTGACTCCCATAACTTCACTCTATCAGCACCATATGGTACAGCTTTATCCGAAACCGCTTCTCCCTTCACTCCATCTACCCATTCGATGTTGAATCCTGTCAAACTACTAATCAAAGTGAGAGCATCTCTCTTATCACTTCGCTCCGGTAAGCCCACTGCAAAGATCTTTTGAAAACCAAGTGTGCTGTTTGAAATATCGGAGGATGCATGAACTGGTGCGACTGGTCTGTATTTTTGAAGAAGGTCGGATGAATAGTGTGTCAAGTAGGAAGGTGTCGATGTATTGAGGAAGACGATGAAGAGGAGAATGCCGATACACAGGACAGTGAAGGGAAAAGCGCGAATGTGTATCATTGTGGTAGTTGAAGAAGATTGATCTGGCGAAAAAGAATCAAATGGACGTAGGTCATGAAATGTCAAAGGAAAGAACGGGCCGCGCCAGTGAGTCGTAATTACTGTACGATGACTTATTTCATACTCAAAATCAAAAACTGGACAATCAAGTGAAGTATGCGCAAGACTTTTGGATTGAAATGGAATGAAAACGAAAGTGAGGTGGTGCAATCTCAAGTACTGAATAAACTTCAAACGAGAAGATGCACCTTCCCGTCATGGCAATCCAAGGTTGAAAGCGGGTTTCCCGGACCTTCGAACCACGCATATTTGGAGGAAAGATACAGTCCAATAAAGAAGATACGGGTAGATATCCGAATTTAAAAACATTGATCTTTCTGCCAAACTTTGTATCAAATCTGCTCTGGCTCCCAAGTTTCTGAAATTCTCTAGGTGCTCAACTTCTCGAGATCGTAGACTTTCAAACTAAACTTGATATCTTGATATCTCGGGATCTCGTCCCAAGTATGCGGGAAGATACATGCTGTACTTTGGTTCACGTAACACACAATCCATATCCACATCCATACACTTTCAGTCATGAAGCAATGTGATGTTACATCCTGCACTTATGTATTTCGTATCGAGTTTTTAGTCAGTCCTTTAGACTTAAGAACTGTGAGATGGATTATATTCATTTGACCACTCTACTTGAATTGTCCTACTCATCTGCGTCACAGGGTGTTTTCTACAATGTGAGATCACAACTTACTTTGAACTTCGCCAGAAATCTGTCTATGTTTATCAGCACATATTCCTTTCATGGAATTGAACCTGCCAACGTCGAACTTCAAACCGGTCGGATAGCTGCACTGTCAATTACAATGCTGACCATCAGTCTTGTTCTGTACCGAAGTGATTCAAATCGTAGTAGGTTGGAAAGGATTTGACAGAGCAAGCATGTGAAGGCCGTGAGCAATCTTCCTACCGTTATCAAGATACCGGAGGGAGATACATCACAGTTCTAGTCTTTTCCTCCTTTACAGATCCTCCCATCTGTCTAGTAAGGTACATCATTGACAACTTTAATGCACATTGGATGGCTACATGCAATGTATTGTAATGACAGCTGGTATATGGTGATAGACATGCTATATACTAGGTACATATTAAAGCATGCTTGAAAGCATACATAGCTTGTACCCCAGGCCACAGCGCTCCCTGATATTTCACCACCAACAAAGGGGTAAACGGCTCGACAACCTCTTCACGCGCCAACGTGGTGCTTTATCGTGGATCAATTGACCGAATAAAGATGTCGGAGAAGCTTACCGAGGAGACTCAAAAGAACATCTACGAGAGAGGCTGGTACCATGGTCAAAGAGAGTGACATCATAGGGAGAACATAGCTTGTAATTATCTCGAGATTCTATACCTGGCAAGAGTTTTTGGAGGTAGTACTCGACAAGTACATATAAAGGTTCATAGCGAGCCGGAATGCTACAGTTGCGAACCAATTACCTTCTAAAATATATCGGAGTCTGTTGTTTGGCGTCAACGGACTTCGAGTGGATACACTGCGAGCCGATTACTTTCTAGATGATATCCGGAATCATCTTAGCAATCCATCGTTTTCTGTCAGGAGACATCCATGTTAATACAATCTTTATCGCAACCTGATGTTAACCTGGGTAGATGTTCAAAGAAATCAATCGGTCAAAGTAAGACTGCGGTTGATGATCACGAATTGAACTGGTGGACCTGGACATTCCAACTTGATAAAGATGGTGATATGGAAATGGGATTTTACTAGCGTAACGTAGTTTACACCTATTTGAGTAAGGTCGACGCGCTGCTGATGCTCGTAATCCTTCCAGGTTCTACGATATACCGGTGCCGAGACCCCCTGTGAACTAAATATAACCTTGCTTTGATGGAGTCCTTCGTACGAAGAATGACAATTGTCGTTGGGAATCAATCTGGGCAAGAATGGGGGAGAATTCGAGTTTGTTGGAGAAATTGATTTATGTACTGAGTATCAGCTTCTACCAATGAAATCCCGATGATCTCTTCTGTTGTAAAGTGCCATAAAGTGTGTAGTCGAGTAGAAAGAAGAGAGTCTGATATCTCTCTTGGGGGCCGCCGTCCATGCCCCTCTATCGTCAGATATCGTAAGATCGGCAACGATAGCCCACTCAATGCAACCCTAAATCGATCCTCGTACATGAACATTGGCGCCATTGTTCTTTAGGATTTTCCTGGCATGCTGGCATGAATCAATCTTGATGGATACAAGTAGGTACCAACCAACAAACAACCACGAGTAGATGCGAATAATTTATCAACTTTTTGTAACTTGTATATAATTTTTCGAGTCTATTCTAGAGTCAAACTACTCAGGTAGAGAGCAATAGATGAGTGGTGTTCAAATGTTCAAATGTTCAAATGGAATACTAGGTAATCATACTCACAACAACAATAATTAAATCCATCTGGAAAATCCGGTCCCCAACATTCGCATTTTACCTACGTCACAGCCTCGAGCCTTATCCGCAAAGGGAAACACATGATTTAAACTTCTACATCGGACATATCACTTATCGATTGCGAACGACCAGAGACACACGAGACCTCACCATATCAACAACTGTACCATTATTCTTGATCAAATACTCGTACTCTCGAATACAATCTCTACCAACGACGATATTAATGAACTATCGCAAGAACGAGAATCTTTGTCATGATGCGAAGCAAGCAATCTTCATCGCTGCAAAAGACATACGATGAGTGTTATTTAATTTGTTCGACGGCTGTATATTTCGAAGGGCAGGTTAGTATAGACATGCATCTTCATCCGGAGAATCTCGATGTTGGAAAGAGAAAGTACTAATGACTCTATTTCTACACAGGGTAATGAGGCAGAAGCTTTAAGATCATGGCGGTCGGCTCTCGATCAAATCTATTATCATAATGCATATCGAGTTCCCGCAGGCTATACACCCAAATCAGAAACCGAAAAGGCTTTGAAGGATAGTCTGAGGTCGATGGAAATGCAATGCAAAGAACGTGTCGATTTATTGGAAGCGCTCAAAGCCTCACGGGAAGAGAAGAACAACGGAGAGAAGACACCACCGGGAGAAACTAGCAGCGGCAGTGGGAGTGGAAGGCTCAAATCATTTTTGAAGTCTTCACGCGCTTCCTCGGATTCTCAACGCCCTGCTATAACAGGTATGAGTAATACAATCGGGGAGGGTACAATTCCCGCGGTCAATTACGATGGTCTGCCGAAACCTACCCCTCCTCCCTTACCCCAACGACCTTCGATGGCCCCCAAAAATAGTTCGGAGATGGCGGTTGTTGGCGGTGGTAGAAGTATGTCAAGTTCTTCGATTGCATTGCCAACAGCATCATCGAGGCCGCCCGCTCCAACATCTCATCCATCAGTCCCTGCACCACAACATAAAATGTCGAAAGAATCAAGAAGTCCTAGTCCCGAAAAAGGAGGAAGAACAATGCTTCAAACATTAAGATCCGGCGATTCCAAGAAAGGCAAAAGTTCTCGTTCAAACAGAAAGAAGGACGAGAATCCTATAACGAATAAAGCTGCTACCCTGGCATGGAATACAATGGGCAGAAAAGGGAAAGATAAGGACAAATTGGGCCGTTCGCAAGATCCGGAGACTGACAGTAGTACAACAAACTTACCTGGTGATAAGCCCAGCTTTTCAGATCCAATCAAAGGGAAGCAAGTGCCTCCGAATCCAGTCCGATTTGATAGCACAACAAGAACTCTGGTACCAGATGTACGACCGCCGCGAAAATCACCACCAGATTTATTGACAGGCTTGAACGATATGGTCGGAGCTACAGGTCAATCAAATGGATATCCTTTTCCTCCAACAGATCCAGGTCAACCAGGTGCCGTTGCTGGACATTCTCTCACCACTGCTACCATGAAAGACGTGATTGGACTTGATTCTCCACTCATACCACAACCTATTGAGCCCAACCTCGGGCCATCGTTACAACCACGACCAGCCGAACCTTCTGCTTCCACGTTCTCGCAGCTCAAGAAGGGACCTCCGCCACCTCCACCTCACTCAAGACACCCAGGTAAATTTGAACCATTAAAATACCCGACGTATCTCCAAGAGTATCCTGATACGATTGCCAAGAAAGGCAACCCAGACAACCTACCGGTACCTCAACGTCGGAGACCAGCTCCCAGAGTAGATTCGAACGCCGAACTTTCAACATCATCAAATCGCTTACAAAGAAAACCAGTATCTGCAAACACTTCCTCACCAAGACGTATAGATGATAACAAAAAGTCACGAGGGAAGGAACTTAGGCGAGTACACGGAGATGATACTTCGTCTCAGAGTGCGAATGATGATACCAGTAATGAAGAATTGCGAACTCGGCCTAAAAGGAAGCAAAAGCAGGTGGTATCGCCAATACTTGTCGATCCTACAACCCCAACGTCTGAAGAGTCTAATGACTCTGCCACGGATAGGATTAAGAGTGCATGGGAGGAGAAAGTCGAACATCTCATGAAGAATTTGCCGAAAGGGGTTGATGAAGGGGCTGCTAAACAGATTTTTAATGAGATTGTAGTTCAAGGTGATGAGGTACACTGGGATGATGTTGCTGGTCTGGATGTTGCCAAGAATGCGCTCAAAGAAGCTGTTGTTTATCCTTTCCTACGACCGGATCTGTTTATGGGCCTTCGCGAACCAGCCCGTGGTATGCTATTATTTGGTCCCCCAGGTACTGGTAAAACTATGTTAGCAAGAGCGGTCGCCACCGAGTCGAAGTCTACTTTCTTCTCCATCTCGGCTAGTAGTTTGACAAGCAAGTTCTTGGGTGAGTCCGAAAAACTTGTCCGAGCATTGTTTTCTCTTGCAAAAGCACTGGCACCAAGTATCATATTTGTCGATGAAATCGACTCTCTTCTTTCTGCACGATCTGGAGGAGAGCATGAAGCCACAAGGCGTATTAAGACCGAATTCCTTATCCAGTGGAGTGATTTACAAAGGGCTGCAGCTGGTAGGGAACAAACAGACAAGGAAAAGGAAAGGGGGGATGCTAGTCGAGTACTAGTACTTGCTGCAACAAATTTGCCTTGGGCAATTGATGAAGCTGCAAGACGAAGATTCGTGAGAAGGCAGTATATTCCTCTACCTGAGGATGAGACTAGAGCCAAGCAATTACATACTTTATTGGGACATCAAAAGCATGGGTTGAAAGAAGATGATATTGATCAGTTGGTCAGATTGACCGATGGTAAGTTCTGTTAAGTTCGTTGTTGAATATTTCTAACAATAAATAGGATTTTCGGGATCTGATATTACGGCATTGGCCAAAGATGCGGCCATGGGACCTCTACGATCTCTCGGAGAAAAGCTTTTGGAAATGACCATGGATGATATTCGACCAATGCAAATTGAAGACTTCCAAGCTAGTTTAGTCAATATTAGACCCAGTGTAAGCAAGCAAGGACTACAAGAATTTGAGGATTGGGCAAGGGAGTTTGGTGAACGTGGAGGTTAATGTCAAGGTCAAGGTCAAGGTCAAGGCAATAATTGAATGGCATGTGTATATGTATATGACTTGGTGTATCAATATTTTAGCTTTTGGATGGATTTGGGGCTCGGTATACAATAGGGTCATGGGTTTAAGGAATCCGGGAGGTGCATGGAAAGGTTCTTGATAGCTGGAGGGCATAGGCGGGATCGGGAGTTCAGAGTCTTGAGCATGGAGTCCTGTGTGATAAAAGCTGGGTTGATTGCCATTACGAAACATACCTTAACGTACTCCATAGAAACATTACTTGATGCGCTCATTTCCCATGTCATTCTTTATACATGATATTTATGATACAATCCCATCTTCATACACTTCCTGCACACGGATATGTGATACACCTTGAACGCCAAATTTTGCATATGCACCCATCTCCAGATCCATTTTCCTTTTCACTGCCTACACAAGCCTTACTTCCTCCCCATTCCCATTCGCCGACTCCTCGGCCTGAATCACCTCATCCTTTGGCTTCTTCCCCTCCGCAAAGCCCTCCACAAACCACTCACTCCCTTCGATCCCCCTGGGATCGCGCTCAAAGCCCCAGCGACTCCAACTCCCCTTGCGAATATGCTTTGCCATTAACTTGCGCTCGCGCTCGGCCATGCGTTCTTCGGCGGTGGGGATGGGGGGACGCTCGGAAATGGGACGGCCGAAGGGGGCGATGATGGAGGAGACGACGTGGTGCACGGTTTTGGAGGTGCGGTGGCCCGGGGTGATGGTTATGATGTCGCCAGTTGTGAGGGAGGAGCGGGGGTCGTGGACGAGGAGGTGGGTTTTGGAGTTGAATTTCTGGGAGGGGGGGAGGGGGGTTAGTTTGGTTGGTTGTGGGGGGGGAGAGAGAGGGGGAGAGAGAGAGAGGGAGGAGGAAGAGGGAGAAATACCTTTTGCAAATGCTCATTCCATATTTGGGTTCCGATCCTTACTTTGACGGTTTTTTCCATGAGACCGCTCGATACGACGACGGCGTTTATTTGCCGCGAGGCGTGGGCAGCTGCTTTGACTGTTTTTTGGATGGGCATCTTGGGTACTTGTGGATTGGGGAATGGGTAATGCGGGAGGGGGATCTTCGAGGTGTTTGGATTGCTTGATTGATTGATTGTATTGTGCTGGACTGGACTGGACTGGACTGGTTTGTATAATTAATTATTAGTTATAATTTTGAGAGGGGAAGGTGAGTTTTTCCGGTTCCGAGGGTGGGTGGGGGGTGATTGGTTGGTTGGTGCTTGGGTTTTTTGTTTCGACAGTGTAGGTAAGGTTACGCAGTTTTCTGTATGTAGGTATGGATGGACCCTTGCACTAGGTAGGTTGGAATTAAGACTGTCTTGCACAGCGATAATTGTGGCGTTGCTTTCATGAAAGGAGCGAACCCCCGAGCCCCCACCATAATAACCTTATGGATGGATATGACGTTTCTGCCTTACTGTACGGAGAGTAGAGCAAGAAATTGGGAATTGTCTGGGTTATCTATCTCCTTTGTTGAAATTAATTACTAGGTAGGTATCTGGGGTTTTATGGCGACACGGTCTTTTTCTAGAGTTGAACACTATTATACATGGGGAGAGGATTGTTTATGGGTTTCGCGATATTATTGTTGATGTAAAGAGAGATAGGGTACTGGTGTTAAGGTTATGTTAAGTAATGGTATCGTTATGTACCTAGGCAAGGTTGAACAAACAGTTCGTCTAATCTCCATCTCCACCGTGACATGAAGAAGAAGCAGCAGAAGTATGCTTTCCTTCACTTCGGAAGAGCATACTTGGGAGGGCTTGAAGATTTATAACTGTTGTATTATATTATATGTACGTACTAGGTACTTTTGAAATATTTTAATGGTTCAGCATGTACTTACTCTGAAGGTTGGATATGTCCCAATATCTAGTACTCATTTGATATGAAACTTCGTTTTCTTTCTATAGTCTGCCTCCACGGCAGTGGCCCCCGGAGGGCCAGCGGAGCGTCATTTATTTCAAAACTTCAAAATCAAGTTTCCAGTAAGACTTCTCAGGAAAGAAAGTCCTAGAAAATGAATGAATATATACATAAAGAATTACAATAGTAAGAGTAAAAGAGTGAGTTAAAAGTAAAACAGGATTTCAGTTCTTTAACTGTTGGTTTGAGAAGGATACAAAAGACGGAGTACTCATGTATTTGTAGATTCTAAATATCTATATTATATTCAGTCTAAAGAGTTAGCTATGTATAAAAAGTCGTAGGTCTTATATAGGCACTATTGAAAGAGTTAGTCTCTTTTGTATTCGCTTAAAGCTTGATACAGTAGCCATTGAATTGAAGTCATTCACCTCACCTACGTTCATACAATGTTGATGAACAGACAAGGGAAGAAATATAGGGCTGAAGGCTACTTAGTGAGTCCCGCTAATACTACCTAGGCAATACGGCTAATTCTAATGTGGCTAATGCTAATGTGGCTCGTGGATCACCACAAAAACTAGGGAGTCTACTAGTATCAACATGGATTGACCCATTTTTGTTCTTTTCGGTCTTTTAATTGGTTTACACAGGCGAGGACCTCTGACAGTGACTTCTTTTCCTATCATGTGACGAACGCCTCAATGCACACGCTATGAGCAATCGGTATGTACCGGTAACAGTAGTAGTAGTAGCAAATTCATAATCGGTTCAGTCTACGATATCTATAACTAATAAGACTACCTACACTAATCATATAATGCGTCTATGTGTTTCTAATTGAATAAAATGAATGGATTCTTTTTTTGATTAGTTTTAAAAAGAATTAGTAGAATACAAAATACTATAGTTGAAAGTCACATGCACACGCTAGACTAAAGGCGAGGCTGTGCACCTCTACGGCTTGAGGTTACCTATTACAACCATCATGTTCTTTTTGCCTTGTGATACTAAAAAAATATAAGAAACACTTTCCCCTTCTCTTTGAGATTTGGATTCAATACCACCTTCTTTTGATAGTGAGCACATCACCTTTTTGAGCTTAGAGATAGGGTTTAAAGACACAAGTTATTGATTGCAAACGAAGACAGCAGGATGTTTATGTTAAGAAATGGTGTGTAAATAAATAGTCCGCCCCTCCACTTTACCCCTCATTCGATCTTCATTCAAGCTTTTTATCAGCAAAGCGCAAACTGAATATACAACTTCTTTTGCGAACAGCATCTAACATATACAACAGTCGGTAAATTGATCTTTGGTGATACATCCAAAGAATCTTTGATCGAGCTACCCCAAGGCCAACTTTATCTCGTTCGACCCCTATCACCCAAAGGATACTCCGAACTTATATTCCGCGACGCAGCAGCGAGGATTAGAAGAACAGGTCAGGATTTTCAATATCAGCTTGTGATTCAAAGAGCCTACGAAGAAGGCGAAGAAGAATTATTGGACGACGAGGCTGCGGACGACGAAGACGGCACTGCAGCTTTGACTGGGGAACGCGACGAGAAAACATTCCTCTTAGACGAAAGTTTACATTTTCGGTCGGAAATTCGCGAAGGCGGTGAGAAAGTCCTTGCTTGGAGAGATTTGAGCGGTGACGCGGGCGATTTATACGAATTTGTTTGCGACGTTTCGATAGAGAATAGTCAGGTTCAATCATTTGAACTTACAGCTGTTCATTGCCAATTTGAGAGAAAATTCAGGAGAAAATATTTAACCGCGACCGAGGAGGAGTTGAGTCAATTTGCCTTCGAAGAAGAAGACCCAATTCCGCATGCTAGTCCACCTACGAGCCCTCTAAGTTTGAGTCCTGTACAATCGTTCCCGGCTATCGATCAGGCAGTTACTAGAAGTACGGCGAATTCTGCATTAAAGGAAACCATGAGTCCAGTTACAAGAGGATCAAGGGCGCCACCCAGAAGTCCATCACCGGTTGAAAAGAGCCCAACGAAGGCACCGGCTGTTGCTAAGCATCCTGAGGCTATTTCTGTGTTGGCAGAGGAAACTGCCGAATTACATTTATTCGACTTCATTTCTGGAACATTTTTGAAGCAAGATGACGAGGTTACAGCAACGGTTACCGAGGTTGGAAATTGGCAATATTGGTTACAACTTAGCAGCAAGGATAGAGACTGGTTGGGTCAAGCTGTGATTGCGGATATTAATCCAGTTTTCAATTTTGAATACCTCTCCTTCATTTTCAACGCTTACACAGCCGATCATCAAGCTTATTCATGGCTTCTTCGATTCAAAGATCAAGAGACAGTGACAAGATTCCAGGAAGGTTTGATGCAAGCTTTGTGGGAACAATTGAATGAAATTAAGTGGAACAACAGTAAGGAAGATGAGAGAGAATATGTTCTCGAGGCATTCCAGGATCTCACTATGGAGGACGCTCCAGATTTTGTCGAGGGCGATGAGGAAGAAGAGGAAGAGGAAGAGGAAGTCGAGGATCAAGACGATGGACAAAGAAGCGAACATTATGATTCTGATGAGGAAGATGATGATGTTGTCACCAAAGACGATGATGGAAATGTTAATTCACAACTTGCGGTTGGATACAAACACGATCGATCGTTTGTTGTTAGAGGATCTAAGATTGGTGTCTTCAAGCATACACCTAATAACAATCTGGAGTTCTCGACCAATATTTCAAAAGTCCAAGCACCAAACGGCAAACTCTTTCATCCAAAGAAAGTTATGCTTCACGCTGAGGATACGAACATGATTCTTCAAGATGGAAACAATCCAAATTCGCTTTACAGGATGGATTTGGAGTATGGAAAGATTGTTGATGAATGGAAAGTTCATGATAATATTCCTGTCAACACCTTTGCACCCGAAAGCAAATTCTCTCAAATGACAGGCGAGCAGACTTTCCTTGGTCTTTCTCGAAATGCTCTTTATCGTATCGATCCTCGTCTTGCAGGCAACAAACTTGTCGATTCTGAACTCAAACAATACGTTTCTAAAAATGATTTCTCCGCTGCCGCTACCACAGAAAAGGGATACATCGCCGTCGCTAGTAACAAGGGTGACATCCGTATGTTCGATCGTCTTGGCATCAACGCGAAGACTCACATTCCAGCTCTTGGTGAACCTATCATTGGTCTAGATGTCAGTGCCGATGGTCGTTGGGTTTTGGCTACTTGTCGTACTTATCTTCTTCTCATTGACGCCCTTCAAAAAGATGGTAAGAATGAAGGCAAACTCGGATTTGAAAAATCTTTCAGTAAAGACTCGAAACCTCAACCACGTCGTCTTGGTCTTACACCAGCTCACGTCGCCCAATTTCAACATGAAACTGGTGTTCCTCTTTCTTTCACTCCAGCTCGCTTCAATACCGGAGAGGGGCTCACCGAAACATCTATCATCACCGCTACTGGTCCTTTCATCGTAACGTGGAATATGAAGAAGATCTTGAGAGGCAGCAAGGATACTTATAGTATTAAACGTTATGCTGAAGAAGTCAAGGCGGATAATTTCAAATACGGTAGTGATAAGAATGTTATTGTGGCATTGCCAAATGAAGTGAATATGGTAGCGAAGCAAACCTTCAAGAAGCCAACAAGAGAAAGTATTGCAACGCCACACAAAGTTGGATGGAGCAATGGTAGAAGAGATAGTGCGAGAATTGGAGGTAGCAATAGTGGAAGATACAAGTTGGGGAGAGAAGATGTGGTTAACAGTCCTTATTAAGTGGTTGTGTTGCGGATTCTGAGCTGGGGCAAATAAATGGATGGTTTAACGCTAAGATGGAGCGTGGGGAGTTTTTAAGGCTTTTTGTGTTCTTCTTTTCTGGAATGATGAATTTTCTTGAGTAGCTTGCTTTCATTAGCTTGCTTGTTTACTTTTCATTTTGGGGAATGAATTTGATTCAAAGTGCGTTGAGTTTCATGATCGTCTTGTGACAATCAGGCTCAAGAGCAGTTTGGTGGGCAGAACGGGACAGATGAATCAGGACGATTAACAGGAAGAGATACCATGGGTATTCATACTTTTGAAAAGTATGATGGTGCAGCTGGAATATCGGCGGAGAAGGCACACCAGATGTTATTTAGTATGCGGAGTTGGTAGCTAGCTTGCAGTAGTTAGGAAGCACACAAATGAATTATCAGTATTACTATTATTTGGGATTTGTTGTTTTTTGTGCTTGTGCGTTGGAAGATTTTGTCTAGGTATATGTTGATTGTGTGTGCGGAGTGTGATGAATAACGAGTGATGAGGAACAAATGGGTAATATCTACATATTGAAAGGTCTATCTGCAAGTTCTATATCAGGAAAGTTAACAATCACATAGCACAGCATAGCAAATCTCGACGCTCTCTTCTCCGCAACCCCCCAACTCCAATCCCAAACCCGCCCCTCAAATCAAAATACTCACCGCCGTCCTCTCCGGCGCCAGCACCCGATACAAAACCGTCCCATCATCCACCCCCAACGTAATCTCATTGACAGTCCCCTCCAACGCAACCAACTCCTCATAAAACCTCCCCGCCACCTCCTCCCTCTCCCCCGTCCCATCACTCTCCCCCGCTACCCCGCGCACGCTCAACGCATACTCCAGGAGCGACTGATCATCCGCCACAACGCTACTCAGCAGATACGGGAGATGCGACGCGAGCAGCCAGGAGCGCGGCTCGCGCACAGGAAGGGAATCGATGAGGTTTTTCTCCGTATAGGATTCCAGTTCGTGCAGGGAGGAGGGGAGAGCCGCGAATAGGGCAGAGGGTTTGTTCGGGACGAAGGCTTGGTAGTAGTCTTGCAGATAGTTGACTGCGGTGTGTTGGGTGCTGGCGATGTGGATGCACATTGTGACTGCGTCTGTGAGTTGGTCGAAGGTGGTGAGTGTTGGGAATGAGGAAATGTTCGCTCCCTCTTCGCTTTGAATCTCGCGACACCAGTTTTGGAGTTGCGCGTCGGAAGAGACGGCCCCGTCGGAGGGATACGCAGACCGCAGCATGCCGGACACGAAACGTCGGAGGGTGTACCAGATATGTTTCATGTTGCGCGCGTAGGCATAGTTGTGGAATTTGGGGGCGTCGAGTTCGGCGAGGGGAAAGCCGCGGGCGGCGAGATCGTGCGGGATGTAGCCGCCGACGAAATCGAAGGTTTCGTACTGCGTGCGCACCATCTGGAGACTGCCTTTGGAGGGGAGCCCGTTGATGTGCACGATGACTTGGGGGATGAGACTTGCTCTTGCGGCGGCGTTGAGGGGGAGGGTTTTGAGCCAGTGGGGGGCGAGGAGTTGGAATACGGGGTGGGTTTCAGGAAGGTGGCGGTGGGAGGAGATGATGATTCCTTCTTCGATGAGATGGGTGTGGGTGAGATGGGAACCCAGTTCGTGGGCGTGCCAGTCGGATACTTGGGCGCATTGTTTTGCGTAGCGCCAGGGCCAATCGGTTGCTTCGTGGGTTTTGGGGGATGAAGGGGAAGTACGCTTGTTGAAGAGAGTGAGAGAATCGGTGATATTGGCACGGTAGTCTAGGATTATTGCAAGTGGATGGAGAGTACCATTTGGGAGGAGACTATTTGGGTTAGTACGATTTTATTTTATTTCATGATGGTACGAAATTTAGTGCGAAATGAGAAGAGATGACGGTTAGCCCCACGTAACTTTCTTCATCCTTGCGGAACGGCGCGGCTTGGGCTGACTGCAGGGCTGAAGACTTTCCAACTTATGTACGTAGGGGATACGAAGTCATGTCGTACTTTGTCCAATCAGGATTGATTGTGCAAATGACGGCGCTTACGAGATGAAGCTTACAGCTGACAGCTCGCTCTCGTGCTCGTGCTCAACATACTCTGCAAAGAGATGAAGAAGTGAAAATGTAACTTAACGCAATAGAATAAACGAAACAAAATGTAAAAAACAAGCAAGTCAAAAAGGAAAACACAACACTCACTGAAAAAGACTAACACTCGCACACCCAAATCTCTTCCCATCATCACTTTTCAAATCCTCCTTCTGTGCCACCCCCGCAAACTTACGGAAATAGCTACAATCCTGCACATACAATCCTCCCTGCCTCTCTCCCTCCTCAATAACCCTCAAACTATCTCTTTTCTCCTGCGCACTAGCTGCCGCCTTGAACCTCTGAATCCATTCCTTCTCTGCCTTTCTAATCGTCACCGGATTTACCCCCGTAAATTGTTGTTGCGCGTATACTTCATCACTATACCAATCTTTTCGCGTCCCTATATTGGCTACTTTTCCAATATCTCTTCTTTCGTCAAAGAGTTTTTGGTTAACACTTTCGATGAGAGCGAATGTGCGTTGATTTGGTTCATCATAGGCGAAATCGAGAAATTTTTCGGGAATCACTTTTTGCACTATGGGAGCTGTGGCGAAGAGTCGCTCTGGTTGAAAGATTTTAAGAGAGTGAAGGAAATCAACTTTGGGTTCAAGACTTAGATGAGGGGGGTAGCCGTCTGAACCGGGAGTTTGGAATTGGAAACGCTCTTTCTTCTCTTGAAGGGAGATGGGGGCAGTAGGAAGGTGAGATTCCAATTGATGAACGTCGAAGAAAGAAGCGAATCTATCATTGGTCAGTTACTTGACTCTTGATATTGAATTTTGGGGGAATCATACGATTTGTTGACTAGAGTATAAACTTCTGAAACTGCTTTCTTGGTCCCGATATATGTACCCGTAGCAAATTTAGCTTCACCGGAATCTTCTTTCAATTTGTTGTGATCATGTTCTCCAGCGAAGATAGAATGAGCAAGAAGTTCTGCCTTGAGAACTCCATGATTCCATTCAATGGGGAAGCGTTTAGGCGGTGGAGCCTCATGTTTTCCATGATGTAGTATATTTTCAACTTTTTGAAATATGCCCGGCATGTTGAAGAAATGATTGAGAATCCGAACGAGCAAATTGAAGATGAATGTAAACATTCGTGGGAGAGACAGAGAGAGTATGAGGCGGTTATAAATCGATGTCTTATACCGTAAAAAAATGACAAGGTGCAACAGAAGGAATGATTGTATAATACACAAAGATATAAACCAAAACTAATTGGTATATTTACTTCTCAAGAACGAGGAAGAGAGGAAATTATGTAGTAAAATCATGGCTGTGCACTGATATTGCTCGGTGTGAAGAGTGGTGGCTCCAGGGCTGACTTGTCTAAAATATTACATGTTGGGTCCTAGAATGGGATAACAGTCAGCAAATAACTCAGCTGAAGCCCCAGTTCCATAACTGCTTATATCAGGCTGATGCAAATTCGAAAATGCGCAGACATGTCAAATGGTGACCGAGTATCTTATGGTCGGTGTCAACAACCAAGTATGCCAAGATTCCACATAGCTCAAGTAACCAAAATTTGATCATGGATTTCCTCATTGAGCAACACAAAAAGTTTCATTACTTGCAGGTGCTATAATTTCTATTTTGCTGTAGAGCTTTTGTATAGCCCTTCGCTAATTTCATCCATGTTATTACTAAGAATGTGAGAGGTAAGTGAGGTCATGCTAGGTCGATTCCTCGAATTTCCTAGATTACTCGTTCGCCAGTGGTGGTTCGACCTTCTTGTAAATCGCCAGTAACTCCTCGCTGAAATCATCCAACATAATAAGCCGAAATTGCTTTCCCCATCGATTTTGGAACGACCGTTTTTTATATTCATGGTTCAAACCACTGCTCCAAGCCACCAATTCAACGTTCCATCCTTTCAGAAGCGCCCTCTCCACATTCTTGAAAAATCCTCCCGAGTATTCGGCCTCGGCCCCATCTCCTGTTGCCAAGACAATGGTTGACGGTATCGGGTAATCGGCCAAAGTTTCGAGCATTTTCATATGTAATATTTCATCTACGCCCTGCTCGACAAATCCAGATTTCGTGGATTGTGATGAGATGGGAGTTTCAGGTTTACTCGATTGTCCAGTAAGGTATCCATTTCCTTGTCCCCCTCGCGCTTTTTCGATTGTGTGCTCCCTTGCTTTATACACCCTCTTAAGAATATTGGTTTCGTAGCCACACGTCTCAGCCTCGTTAAAATGAGGTGCTGAGTCTCTGTCACTTGATCTGGATCCAACCAAGATTCGTTTAGCAACAGGCCGATTTCTCTCCAGAATTGATGCTAGTGAACAGTATGAGAAAGGTGGACTTTCAACCATCCTTTCACTCTCAGGAAATCGCCGTGCACTTTTTAAAACGTTCTGGAATCCAATTATAATGTTGCTGAAATCAACAAATACATGTATGTCTTCCTTATTTGAAGACCTGACTGCTTCGTCGAGCCTCAATTGATATGATAGCTTTTTAACTATCCTGATCCACTTTTCTTCGCGAGTCAAATCGTGAAGAGGATATATGACGCCCTTTTTGATGACCGTATTCTTATTTTCGGGGGTATCAAAGATAACAGGACCATTGCTGAAGTGTTTTGCAGATTTCGTCCGCAAAGGTGTTTCAACCTCTGATTCAAGTCCGCTGCTCTCATTCTCATCCGTCCATAGATCAGACAATACCTGCCTGCGTGTCTGTTTGTGTACTCTCGGTGATTGGATATTGAAAAGACAATCGGCAGGAAAGGGAGATCTAACATCTGTTTTCGTTTGAGAGATTTGCCTTATCGACGTCTCTTCCGGGAAAGATATCAAATCTTCCCTGGACTTTGCTCGTGTCCCCCGCTGTTGTAGTTTCGGAAATTTCGTACCTTTAACCTTATCTTTCCATCGTACCGTTCTTGTTTTCGTAACATAGTCTTGGTAGATATCCGGAATATCTGAATCATCCGTCGCAGAAGATGGCAGACTATTAAGATCAGAAAAGAGCCCTTCAGAAGTATAAGAAGATGGTGCTGACTCATTGGGTTCAGCATCAGGATCTTGACAAGTTGTCGGAGCATCGACACCCAAGTGATTCCATATTGGAGTGAAATCACCCAAGGTACGTGCACTTCTGTCTACTAATGAGGGCTCGTCTTCAGGTAGAAAATAGTAAGAATATGGTAAATCGCTGTTTAAAGTCGAAGTAGAAAGGAGATTGTGAAGCTCGATGGCACAAGTCAGGTCCCATGGCTGGGATGTATGGGATTCGGTCATGTAATTAACGTGAGGATCGACCTAGCAGAAGATGCTCAAGCCGAAGAAGTTATCTTAAGTGTAGTATCTGATAGGGTATTGAGACTATAAGGAGGATTGAAGTTAGTGATCTGATCTGATAGCTCTGATAAGAAGTACAGTGGCAAAATAGCAGTTGCCGTTGCGTATAACTTACAATGAACTGGGAAATGATGTTTGCAAGTATAATCATACTTCTCGCTGTAGATTTTGATGTTGCCGTTGTTATCTAATATGGATTAAGAATGAATGATACCAAGTTGAAGTTCAATGAAGGTAAATAACAATAGGTTAATAAGTACTTGCATTGCAGTAGATGGAGGCGGTTTCTTCTTCAAGAGATCGAATTCGGATAGAGGAACCTTGAATGATTCACCTGAACTCCACCTACCGAGCCTCCCTGCGCCTTATTACCTAGGTAGGGTACTAGGTAACTATGTACCAATTGCATTGCATTGTTGAAAAGGCTGTCGGGCGATGTACTATACTAGTGCTGTTGGTGGCACGGACACTTTGTTTAGTAGGAGAAGCAGACCCGCGTGGCAAAAGATCTGGATTGAAACCCAAATCTTCGATGCTTAACATAATCTGACCCGGCTTGGAGATGAGTTCACGTGGAGAAGTCAACAACATATAATCAGGGACATCACAATACGATGTAGGTTGATTATGTGTATACTAAAATTGTAACATTGCCTACCTAGGTACACTTCTTTCACTTCCTTCATATTCATCTCCATCTCTTTTGCGATGAAGCTTCCTCGATTCCCCCCGAGCCCCCCTCAAGACCCCAACTAGGTACCTTCAGGCTATGTTGATCAGGCTTTCTAGTGGAAACCAACAACTCTCGTATTCGCATATTTGCAATCGGACGAATATGCCTTGCCATGTTACAATCATGCATATATAGATATTCCAGATATTGACAGATACACTTCCTCATAGCAAATCATCTTATTGCCATCAACATCCCAAGGCCTATAGTCTATAATCATGATCAGAGTTGGTTTTGAATTATTAAGGCTATGTCATGAGAACCTTCGTTTTGCATCTCAAAATAATCAATTCCATGTTTAATGAATCCTTCAAGTGGGAAAAATCACTGCTATCCATCATCTTGCCCTTTTCCATTGCCAATTCTCCCATTGTATTCCCAACTCAAAGCCATTTCATTTGCTTGATTGCCCTCATCCATAAATCCATCATCATCATCATAATCACAGATATTACAATCACTAATTTTATGTTCTCCCCTCCCTTCCAAAGCACAGCTCTCACGTTGAAGTACTATTTCTCATCTTTTTTTTGCCATTCCTATTCCAACCACGACAAGAAATTTTCCTTCTTCGTATCGGGAGAGATGGTTGGAGAATTCGGGGACTACTGAAGGCAACTAGATCTACGTCTCTCTCGTGGAGTGTAAATCACCCTCGGATGGTTTACCTATATGTTTATGACTGTTAAATCAATTTATTGAAATGTATTCTATCCAAGCGGAGGAGAAAAAACAAAAGATCACTTACGAATATTCCCGCTCCACCAATGCCATATGATCTGCGTCGTTCGCCCTGTACATCTTTTGTTGCCGATCCAAAGGATTCCCCAAAAATTTTGTTCGTTCCCTCATCAGAAGGTGGAAATTTTGATGCCATCGTTATCGACTTTCTCTTTTCTGGTAGTGATTTTGCCGTTGACGGAGCAGGTCCTGATATGACTGCAAGCAGATAATAACTTCCAAATTCCCTATTTGAGTTATTTGCCTCGATTTTTGTGCCTTTCGAGTGACTTGACAAGTGCCAATTTTGGCCAAGTGACGATCGACGTGATTCTTGATAACTTTGAATAGATTCGGCGATGCTATGATCTGAAGGAACAAGAAGTTGTTCAAGAGAAGAATTTTCTGCACGATATATCGTATATGAGGTTTGTCCTGCAATCTTTGATGAAAATCTTGACTTAATTCTTGAGCGCTTTTTAGAACCAGACCTTGAACATGAAAAAGATGATGACAAGAAAACAAAGGGTGAAAGAGACACCATATCTATCTCTATGTTCGTATCTACGCTAAATCTGTGGAGGCAAGTTCGGCAAATGATAGACAGAAGGGGTGAGGAGAAACGAGAAAGCAGATTGGTTGCAATGTATGGCATACCGAATATATACATCATCTGGCACCTGATTTCTCTGGAGACAATCGCCCACACAATAAGAATCATGCTTATGTGGAGATATGTTAACGTGTTTTCATAGGGTATCCAAAATGTGATTATCTTGATTGAGCCATGAGATGAATTACCAGTATGACGTTACATGATCGCGAATCGCTTGTATGGAAGCCTTTTCTCTGTTTTGAATATCATAGGCACATCTAACGGTTCATTGCAAGAGACATACATACCGATCGGCCCATAAACAGCAAAATCCCTTCCCTGGTTGTCACTGGATAGATTGCAAATTACCAACGGCAGCGAGCCATCTACCGTATATGCATGAAGCCATGTGAAATGGGCATTGGCAGGGGTGAGAGGAGAGACGAATTTCATATAAAAAACGGCACCAGGATTTTTGGGAAACACAAGCTTTGTGGGGGGGCGCGCACGCAGGCCATACGAGGCATGCAACGTTATCTTTATCCATGTCCAGATCTGCAATGAGTTACCAACCTGGAAATCCCGCAAACAAGCTTTTGCGGGGTACCGATGTAGGTATGTCATGATAACAAACATGATATCTCGACCTTTCAAACTAATTCATTTGTTTTGATGAAATGTTTTCCGTGAAACTTATGTATTTTGACTTTGATCAGTCATTTTCGATCAAGATTCTATGAATGACCAAAAATCAATGCCGATTCCCGCTTACCTACCACAGAAAGACCAAAGTTTATATCCACGATTTCACAAAAACGCTGCAAACATTGCGAATGTCTCAAATCCCAGTGTCTCATTCCCTATTCACTCTATCCATCTTCCTACAATCTAATCTCAAATCCATCTATAGTGTTACATTGACTTCACTCCAAGTACGGGCGGGGGCATTGCATTAAGTGTACAGTGACACCCGTCAAAATGTCCAAACCCGTTTATCGCGCTTCTGCGCATGCTTTACGTGGACGGGTCACAACTATCCATTGAGTCGGATTGGTCGAGTCTTATAATTTGTGTTACGTTGTGTAGCGCTTTGTGTTATGGATGGGCTTTATGCGAGTTGGTCTTTCTTTTGGACATTGTGTATGGGTCTGAATGCGACAATTATGCAGGTGCCAAAAAGGGGTTGCAGATATTCTGGGCATTCTGGGTGCTGTGAAAGATGTCAATTGTGCAGTGATGTATGTCTGATTATGGGTATGTCATGTAAGATCTTATATCAGGTCTCATACGAGGTCTTATGTAAGATTGAATTATGCATGAAGTATCAAATATTATTCGATGCACGTGTAAGAATTATGAAGCTCGGAGACTGAGTGGTCTTTGAAATTTGGAATGGGATCTATGATAATATACGGTGCGAAGAGAGGATTTAGGACGGGAGCTCGGAGACACAATAGGGATCTGAGACGGTTATTTTGTCAAGGTTTTGTTTGCACTGGCGAATTACTTCCATACTATAAACTTGCACATGACTTTTCAGAAAGATACTATTTATCCAGGAGAGCCTCTGGCATTAGGAAAACTCTGGTCCTTGTGGACAATGAAGTTAAGGAGTAGCGGCGATAAAGATACGAGATGGTATGGTTGTTTCTCAATATATCAATTCAATCTTTGTGCAAGAAAGTTGCATTATCTTTTCAAGTAACAATAGGAGAGAGACATACGAAGTGAATACTGCGAGTATAATAAAGAATATCCTCATTGTTTGTAAGGGCTCACATCAATAAACATGCACTGTGGTGCATTTTCTACGCGTGGCGAGATATCACTGAATAGAAACATAATCATGCTTTCTAATCCCGCAGATGTATATTGAAGATTCTTTGGTGATAAGTCAGCGGGTCAAGAACTAAAGGTGACTATCGTGATTGTGCCACCAACATGCATGAACCAACTGCATTTGATGTTGAATTATTACAATTAGCTATCTCCAAGTAGAAAAATCAAAATTGAAAGTTATTAGACGCGGAGTTATTTTCATTCCTTCGAAATCAACAGATATCATCGTCACCATCGCCATCTTCGTCGGGGTCGAATATCCTTTCTCTACAATGTTTTCACATCATCCTGTCCATATTTTTGGAGGCTTGGGCTCTTCTATTGTATACCATTACCAACCAACGAACCATAAGAACCAAAACCGCACGACAATACAATTGTGATATTCCATTCACTTATCCCCACCTCGATCCAATATTTGGAACGGACCTGAAGTTTCAAGAGATTCAACAGTCTCTACGCCATCAGAGCATCACTTTCTCTGCAAATCTCCACAGAAAATATGGAAAGACATTTGAAATCGTCAACTTTGGCACTTTCTCATTGAGAAGTATAGACACGGAAAATATCCAAGCAGTCTATTCTACAAATTATAACGATTGGGGCTATGAGCCCTCAAGACTATCTGTCATGGGACCTTTTTGTGGTCGTGGATTCATCACTACAGATGGGGATACATGGCAAAAAGCTAGGGCTCTCCTGCGTCCAACTTTCAGCAAGTCGAATATCTCGGATCTATCTGCATACAAAGGTGCTGTTGAACAGTTCCTTCGAAATATTCCAGATGATGGCTGCACTACTGTTGATCTACAACCTTTACTAGCGAATCTCGTAAGTGTTGCACTTTGATGAGATAACAGGCGAAGAGATACTTATGATACTAATAGTATCTAGAAACATCCTTGAAATTTCTGATAGGTATTTCCCCAGATACCAGCAATGAGGATGAAAGGAAGAAAGCAACAGAGTTTATTAAAGCTTTCAACGCATCTATGATCGGAATGGAACTCTCATTCATGATAGGTCCTTTCAAATTTCTAATCCCGAAATCACTCACAACTGTTGCTCACAAGCAAGTGTATGAATACATTGATGTTTTAGTTGATAATGCGTTAGAAAAGACACGGGAAGAGCTCACTCACAAGGAAAATTCAAATGTACCAATGCAAAAGAGTCTTCTGGAAGGTCTCGCTAAGCAGACTGATGATCGCATAGAAATTCGTCAGAATATTATTCAAGGGATGATGGCAGCGCAAGGTACTACATACGTTTTGATCAGCAACACGTTATTCCTTCTTTCGCGCAATCCGGATCTTTATGAAAGACTTCGAGACGAGGTACGATATGTGGACCTTGAGTTGTCTTCTCAGCTGTTTGATGTACTACGAGATCACGTTTTCCTTCAGAACATTCTGCGTGAATGTAAGTTAGAGAAGTCTGTGAGATTTAAGAGAGAGACGAATATACTGATGAACCGGCTCTCTAGCTCTTCGCATATACCCTGTGTTCCCCATCATGAACCACATTGCTCTCCGCGACACAATACTACCAAGAGGAGGAGGTATAAACGGAGAATCTCCACTCTTCGCACCTAAAGGTACAACGATATATACGAACCAGTATGCTCTACATCGTGACGAGAAAGTCTTCGGAAACGACGTTGAATCCTTCAAACCAGATCGATGTGATTCCGTCAATTGCAAACCAACCTCTTGGGAATATACGCCATTTGGTGGAGGACCACGGGCTTGTGTCGGTCAACAGAAAGCACTGGTAGAGGCGGCGTATACTGTGGCGAAGATTGCACAGGTGTATAAGGGATTGGAGAGTCGTGACGATAGAGACTGGGAGGGCGAGTGGAAGTTGACAGCGAAGAATATAAATGGATGTAAAGTTGTATGTATCCCAGCATGAATCGTTCTACTTAACTGGTAGAACCTTTGTAAATTAAACCTCGTAACATCTATCTTCTCAAAAGTCCTGGGTCATAAACGGAAAAGACTCCAAATATACTTCCCAAGTGCTCCAACAACCTACTTCATCACCTAAGAGAAATTGTTCCCTTACACCCTATAATCATCACCAATCACGCTCCTTTGGACCCTTACAAACTCTGCTCGCAACGATATATCACTTTCAATGAAAGCCTACTGCCCAAGTGAGCCGAATCGATATTTATATAACATGTCAATCGAAAAACTAAAAGGATTCCCGCAACCACTGACCCCAATCTACGAACAAACCCCTCAGCATAAATAACCATTCTATCACAACACAAAATCTTGAGCTAGCATCATCATGATTCGCTTCACCCTTCATACTTCACACAATTAGCGTCACGGTAAAGTACGACGCAATCACCAATCAAGTCGCGATAAATTACCCCACCACAGCTCATAGAGCTAAACTTGTTTGATTAGCAACCGCAGCACTTAGCTTCGTTGTACAATTTAGCTTGAAGTATTTAGCTCCATCATATCAGCCAGCTTCATTTTGCCAGTTGGGTTCATCGCGCGCTATACCCTCTAAATCATATCAGAACCCGTGATAGACATATGGAATGGCAATACCACAAAGAAAATCTATCATAAAGTAGATGCTGAGTGTGTGTTACTACTTTGATATGAAGCAGATATCTCAGATTTCATCTGTGGTGAGGGTGTTCTCCTTAATTTCTCTTCTAATCAAGAACAGCTTTGTCGAAGATGTCCTGGAGACTCTCTTTTCACATCCAGATCCATCGTTTAGGAAGACTAGAATTGGTGTAGACAGACAGAGTGTGCATAAACGATTTTTCTTCAATGGAAGGATTAGTGACACTTCTTTTGTTGTCACAAGTCGTTCTTATTTTCGTATTTATCTTGAGAACCCTTCCCCGCTCCTGATTCATATCGTTAATACAGGCCAAGCAGGATGTTTTATCACTTCCTCTAAGTTCTGCTGCCAATTGCAAAATCTATGCAAGTTAATTCGTTCAGCAAATTGACAAGACTGAGTAATCATCATATCGGCGCACCTCGAGGACTAAATCCTATATCTCTATATTCCCCGCTTTCAAAAAATGACATTGTTGCCCTTCTAAAATCTTCCTTTACTGGAATCACCCAGAGATGCTGCTTGATATCTTCTACATCGACTATATCATAACCTCAGCTATTGAAGTTACTATTCCGAAATTGAATATCGCTACAGGATACTGCTTTGATTCTGAACCTCTAGACACCACATGTAACGCCTATCATGTGGCAAGACTCGCATTTGTCGAGAAATATGCACGAATATGAAAACAAGAAACGAAATCCATGAAACCTTCCGGAAAAAATTCCAAAATCAAGGATTATTTGGAGCAGGATGAAGATTCATTGCAGCCTCAAGTAATACCAGTAGATGGATTTGGAATTTTATTACAAAGCGATCGATCATCCAACACATCAGGGGGTTTCAATTTCCCGTGCCATTACCCCTCGTGTAGGTTCGCAACTCCGTTTTTGCTCACACAATTCCAATAGAGATAGTTAGGCATGATAGCATCATCGAAACCCCAAAATTCGTGATACGCTGTGTAACTTACAAATAAGAAACGACGCAGGATCGTGACACCAAGAAAGAGGGGTAGTGATCTTGGAACAATCAATTACTCGGTTACAAACAGGGGAATATCCAGAGCGACCCACACGCTAACTGGCGCCAACAACTCCCGCAATCTAGAGGGTTAGCAACAAGGTAAACTGTGGCGTTTGTGCAATAGCTGAAAGGTAGCTAGATGATATGAATCGTACGAGCCAATATCTGACGCAATGGCAGCTTAAGAGAATAAATAGGGTAGCATGCAGGTACTCGCGAGTCACGATGATCACCACACCATGAGGAACACATGTTTCATAAACAACAGCGATAGGAAAAAGTTGTCTGAAAACCTTTAATAATCATCTAGACGAGAGGGGTGGCGTGCGGGGAAAACCCTGGACGGATCCGCATTCAGTTACTTGCATTAGTGTCACAATGTCAATCACGCTACATGCATCATTAGCATTGCATATCAGCTTTAATATCGCAATGCCGCTGAGGGAAAAACACGAGTCAATTGATTAAATGATACAATCTGAGGACGATCTGCGGAGAGTACTACTGCACCTTGCCAAAATCGCAATTTTTTGAAGTAAAAGAATGACGAAATGGGTGAATTGCAGTACGTGGTGTTGAACCGAAGGTTTCATTGACATGCAGTGTTTTCTTTCCGTAACTTGCAGATATCTTCATGGCTGGCAGATAGAGGTATACGAAATGGCCTAAAATCTACTGAACAATGCGGAAATGCAGACTATCAGTTGGTGCAATGTTGAAGCGGGATATCATCATTTTCCCTACTCGTTGTCTTACCTATGTAGAAGCTATATAAACTTCAGAATCCCTCCCATTAAATTCAATTCTCAAGCTCAGATCATCCTCCAAAGAAGACATCACTCTACAAAGCTTTTGCAACTTCCATTGCTAGGTAATATTATTCCTTCTTGGATCGATATTTTGGCTTACGCCCTAGATCTAGTTATCAACTTTCGAACTTCCAGACCAACTTCAAGCCAGTCTCCACCAACTACCTCAAAGTAAGCTACGATAAATCACACATCGACTAACAAACCCAGCTGACATCTCCATAGAAAAAATGGGTGCCAATACCATCACCGTAACCAACAACTCCACCTCTGACGTTTCCGTCAGTGTCACATACCACGGAAACGACTTTCAAAAGGGCGGAAGCGAGCTCTGGTATAATCTTAAAGCCAACGGAGGATCCGATACCTGGAATTACAGGTCCGACAATCAAATCGTCAGAGTTGCTAGAAGCCAGAATGCTGGGACAGGAATCGAGTCTTTCCTCGCTGTACCAGGGAAAACCATCTATATCAACTAGTTGCATACTACTGGTGGCAGGTTTTCGCTTCCTTTGATGGAATGAAAACCCAGTAGTGTCACACCCACGATTAAAAGAAATGGCTCATCACAGTAACTTAGCTGTATTGCATACTGAATGAATATAGCAACATAACCCAACAATAATGGCCTTTTCAAAGATTTTAGAGTGTGACTGTGAACCTGAACGTGAACACCAATCTAAATGTGAATAGAAAAAGAGAGGTTGATTAACGAATCAAGTTTGCAAATATCTTTGCTTTGAAAGTTCTCTAAACGCACGAAGTAGCTGGATAGACAAATTCAAGTCCCTAAATACTCAATGAACTTGCATATTTTGTACAGGATATTCCAAATTTTAGAGACATCCTTGGATCAGTGGTTCAAGACTTCTTGCACCAAGTAGGATAGAGTAGACGTTTGCAAAAGGTCAAAAAGATATCATGCTTAAAAGGAGACTTTTGAGTCAAATGCAAAACAATTGGGGTGGTGAAGTAATTTGTCAATGAATACTCGCAAATACCAAAATATCATAATGCAACCTGACCAGCCGATCCTTTTCCAAGCCCTCTGCTTCACTTGCCTATAATATGTCACCATATTTCATAGCCAAAATGATAATCACGGTATATGTACAACTAGTACTTGCATTTACTGCACGCACCTCCCAATCTTATCACGTCTCAACCTTCCTACTCTTCGTCAAAATTTTCCCACATCACCTCTCAATCTCAGCCAGCTTTTCCCTCGGTGGTAGTGCTTCTGGTCCAAAAGACAATGGTAGGAGCTAGATATACCATATTGCATTAATATGTCAAACAAACTTTTAGGCCACAAACAGAATCCCAAGTAAAAGTGTGTACTAGGAGTGAGTAAGTCGGAAAAATAAACGTATCACATACCTCTCCTAACCTCGCAACCATAAAATCCCCATTCTTGTCAAACATAAAAATTGGCATATCCAGCTCGCAGAATTCACGGATACTATATTAATCCACAAAGATTAGCAGTTTCTCTTAATCCAGTATCTCTCATCAAGTCCATAATTCTCAAGTCCCAGCTCCCTCCGGCTCCCTTCATCCCCTCGCTATATCCCCATTTCCAAACCCCCATCCATATCCACACTTCCAGCATCGAAACCCAAACCAAAGCCCAAAAACACAAACAAAAACCAAGCACACTCACAACTGTCTACACATCCCACACGGACTCGCCGGCGGACTAATATCCGTCGCCACGCCAATCGCCCGAAACCCTCTCTGCCCCTCCGTAATCGCCTTCCCAAACGCAACTCTCTCCGCACATGTTCCCACCGGATACGCAGCATTTTCTACATTCGCGCCATCGATGTATTTTCCCTCATGGGTGAGAATCGTAGACCCGACGCGGAAATTCGAATACGGGCAGTAGGCGGTGGATTTGGCGGATGCGCTGCGCGATTGGAGGGTGTGGATTTGTTCGCTGGTGAGGGAGTAGGTTTCGCTGGCGAAGGATATGTCGGATGGGTCGTTGCCGCGGAGTAATTTTGGTTGGGGAAAGGCCATTTTTGTGCGTGTGTTTTGTGTTTTGTTGTGAGAGGTTTGGAAGGAAAGGGGGATGTTAATATGTTGAAAGTAAGTTGAGTTGTGAGTAGAGATAGATATAGATTGTGAGGTGAGGTCATTTCGCGATAGGTAACCTTAATGATAACGATAAAAGGAAGGTGTTTAAGCTCCCCCCCGCTCTATTACCTACTTTTAATTCACGTCAATAGATAAGTTACACAATTAATTATATTATATAGAATTATTTAATTTAAGAACATAGGTAAGCATCCAATTCAAATCATTACCCCATTCACACAATTCTACTTTTGACCGTATTGTTGTAATATTTCAAACTTGATACCTCGTACAAAAAGAACCCCGCTACCCCTCCAATTCGATCACACCTACTCGAGTATGGATATACCAAGTATCGTATACTGGGTTGTGTTTAGCATGTGAAAAACACTTCTTATATTTTCCCTTCTGACCAAACTCTGGTATGATCAACTAAATTCGAAATTTCAATAGTATTCAAACTGAACACCAGTTTGTCGATAGGTAACAGCTCCATCCAGCCCACCCACCAAGAGCCACCATTCTCGAATCTCGAGAGGTTCAAGATTCTACGAGTACAAAAGGTATTCGAGAAGCGTATTCCTTTCACTCGTCCTTCCCATTCCTCATACATTTACACCACCGTTACAAAATATGGGAAGGGGAGAGGGGAGCATCTAGATAGTAAATCATATCATATAAAGATTCTTCAGGTCTACATAGCTTGATAACTTCATAACCTCATAGCTTAACAAGATCTCAAAAGATTCGGGGGCATGCCATCCTTTTCCTCCTTCACTTCCATCTACCCTCCCACTGTCTTCTCCTGCAATCTACCCTACCCACCATCTACACTATATCCCATCTCATCCCATCCCACCAATCCCATCTACCCTACCCACCGTCTACACTATATCCCATCCTACCAATCCCATCACACCAACCCCATCCCTCACCCTTTCTCACACACAACACAACACCAAGCTTACTTGCTTCACAAACCCATTCCCCAATCCAACCCAATCAAACCCAATCCAACCCTAAAAACAACACACCCCTCCTCATCCTTCCTCTCCCACTCTCCCCCTTCCTCCCCCAAGACACAGTCCGCAACAAAACCAACATCACTCAAGCAACCCCACTATTCAATCACAAACCTTCAAACCAACACAGAATCTCTACATTCCATTTCCCCTCTATCCTTTCAGATGCCATTTCATTTCATCTCATGCCGTGCCGTCCCCATCTCTTAAACTCTATCCCCGGAGCTTTCAGATCATGCAGTCTAATCTAAATCTCAGACCCATTCATCATGATCCAGGAACTTTCCTTAATCTCACCTCCGTCTCCCTTCCCCTTCTCCAACTTTTCAGATCTCACATCTACTAGCAGAAATCAATAATCCCGCAAAGTGATCGATAGATTTTTAGTTTTACTTTCATGTATCATTTTCATTTTACTCTTCTCTACCACTTCTTCCGCCCACCATTCTCATTCCAATCAATCACCTATCTACATTCCCCATTCGCATCATCCTAATGCATCCCATCTGCTCAAACTTTACCGTAGACCGAAGACCGAACAGAGATTGAAACAATAGCTCAGCTCAGTCCATCTCAGGCCACTACCTCGCAATATTCCCCGCCTCCAAGATCTCAACATCCCAAACATTCCTTGCACCAATTCAATCTTTGGTGACTTGAATAGGAGTAACTGCGTACGTAGGTCTGACGTATCTATAATGTCACAATATCAGCATCATCTTCTTACCACTCTCCTTCTCCATTCCATTCCTTTCCATGCCTAAGACTCTTCCCAGATAAATAATCAAAACAACGTACCTATCACTGTTATATGGACTAGTCTCACTACCCAACAATTCCTTTTCTCTCTTCAAATCAGCCCAATGTCTTCTGACAAGATCACGATCGGTTTCCGCTGTCAAAAGTGGGATCAAATGGATTCTAGACCACATTTTTTCACGGGCAAGTTCACTGTTTAATATTTGTTAGTAAATTATCCATTTGAATCGTCTGGTTAGGAAAGAGGCGTCCTGATATTTGAACGTATAAATCAAAGTCATATCCAAGCTCTTCAGACATTATTTCTGAATCGTTCAAGATAATTCATGAATTCATCAGACCCCTCAGGAGTAGAGCCTTCCACCGAGATGCCTTTAGACATAAATCTCCCCTTCAATCCTCAACACTCCAAAACCTAATAAAAAAAACACTTACTTCTGTTCCCGGATTCCCTTTCCTACTTTCCAGAATCCATATGTCATAACTCCAGCCATGGCCAAAAGCATAACCGAGGGTCTGAAACCGCGTGCTGGAAGATTTCTCTATAATTTTCAAAGACAAAATATTAGCTTGCCGTTCTTTTGAACTCTGGGTGCCTTTCTTTCTCCTTTCGCCCCACAATCTCGCTCTCCCTTCCGCCCCTGTTCATCTGACTATATAAACATCTGACTATCTACGTCGGACCCGTGTAAGATTAAGACGAGGATGAGGACAAAGAACTAGTGTGATATGCGTATGGAGATCAATCGTCGTGTATCGTTGTTTGGAAAATCTCGCGGTCTCATAATGAATGACGCTCCGCTGGCCCTCCGGGGGCCACTGCCGTGGAGGCCGACTATTTGGTTAATTCCATCCCATCAAACCACCTCTTCTTTCACCACTCTCCTTCCCTATGCACCACACCCAGCACCTCATCCTCATTGACAGATATCAAAAAATCGAACGTTAAATCTCTACCCCTCCATTACCCCCAATCTCCCGATTCCACAAACCCATCACACCTACCCCTCCATCGCAACGCACCGCGTATTCTCCGTTCGCATTTTTTCATATAATCCTCATCTTCCGTCCCCCATCATTGTTGATAGTTCCATCCATCTCATCCTATCCAATTTCTTCAATCTCCCCAATCCCGATGATCAATACAACCCCCCCAATATCAACCATCAAACACAGCAGCACATCCCAACACACAACCATCCACAATTCATTCCGCACTCCCCCTCACAATATCTCAATACATAGCAGTCGCAGTCCCAGCAGTATTCTTCTTCGTTTTCATTTTCGTTTCCGTTTCGTTTCGTCCTCATCCTCGTCGTAGCTATGATCGTGATCGTGTTCATAGTCGTGCCCGTTCCAATTCCATCCCACTACCCCCTCTCCTTCTCCTTCTCCTCCTCCTAATGTATCATCCAGCCCATCCCATTGCAATCCATCTCTCCCATCTTCCCGCTTCTCAATGCCCCATCTCCTCTCCCCTCCTTTCCTCAATCCCCAAACCCCAAAACCCAAACCTCCCTTCCCATTCCCCTCCGCAAAAACAAAAGAAACGAAAAAGGAAATCCCACCACACACCTTATACTGCACGGCTTCATACCCGCCCTTTGGCGGCATATCCTGAGGCATATTTGCTGATTTTTCTTCCCTCAAACTAATATATGTTTCCTCGATCTTCTTTCTTCTATCCCTTGATCGAGACTTCACAAGATAGGATACAGAATATGGCGTAAGTGAGTTGTTTGTAATTGTCAATGTGGTGTGGTATGCTTTCGAGATTGAATGTTATCGCTCAATCAAGCTCTAATTTATTCATGCCTGGAATTCAAGGCCTATAGTTCGTAGCCCTCCCGAAATCCACACCTGCACAATTGACTTGGTCTGAGCGTTCGTAACCAATAAACATCAAGGTTTTACTATGCTCGAGTGCGTATAATACATCAATCCTCATCATCGTCCTCAAATACAAATCTCGTAATCATCTCATCATAAAACTCATCTCAATCTCAATCTCATAGACTCAATAATTCTTCAATCTTCAAATAACGCCCAACTAATGCACAAAACCAGTCCCATCCCGTCCCTTCCCGCCAAACCCCCATCCCAATTCCAAATCTCCCAACCCCAATTCCCAACCATGCCATTCCTATTCACCCAGTTTCCCAGATTCCATCCACAAAACACCTTAAAAGCAATAATAAACCACGCTTCAAAATGATATGATGGCTGACACAAGAGTTCTCGTTTCCTCGTCGTGCGCAATTCCTCCCCTCATGCCAAACAGCAAAGACTCTTGATAAAGTTCGACCCAGGTGCAATGCAATGCAAATAACAAAATCAACCGGCGGCAGCAGCCGCTTCTTCCTCCAGTTCCAGATCAAAAGCAGCCTGCATTTCGGCTTCCAGATCATCTTCAAAACTATGATCACTTTCCTCCGCCATAACTTGATTAACCTCGTCATTTTCATCACCCGTAACCCCCGGGGTAAGAAGACTCGATTCCGTGGTACTATTTGGCGTTTTTACAGTTTTCAGGCCCGTTGTTCTTGAATTAGCTACTCGCTGCTTTTTTGCCATAGTACTTTCTTCTTCACTTTCATCTTCGTCCGTCGCATCGTCGAATCTTCGTTTATGTCCTCTTCTGGAACTTGTACGCGATGTTCGACTGTTGTTACTGTTGTTACTGGTGAAACTTGTGTCGCTCTCTGTACCAGATTCATCATCACCCATGAATTCGGCTAATTCGTCATCTATTGATGACCAATTGAGATCCGTCGTTGGAGAGATGTCACCTCGCGGTTCATCCGGCATGACACCTTCCCCATCTAGCTCAGATCTTGTGTCGTCATCTTCAAAATCTTCACTCTCGGTGTAGTCTGAAGATTCCTCACTATCTTCACCAGGAGATGGAACATTAGTTAAATCGCCACTTTGTCTCCTATCAGCTGGATTTATTTCCACCTAATGGATATATTAATATTGCCCATAAGAAAATAATGGAGAGTTCAACTTACCAAATACTCTGATTCTTCTTCCTTTTTCCACTTGCTCATCGACTGAGTCAACCATTGTTGTGTGACTATCTTAATGTGAGGATATTTTGCCGCTTCTCGAACTTTTTGTGTACGAGTTTTCTGTGACGAAGCAACGACATGAGTGACTCTCTTTGAAACCCTATAATATGTTAGTGACCTTTCGACAAAATACCATGGCAGTACATACTTTTTATGAATTTTGCCACCAAAGCTTTCTATCTGCTGAGCAATTTCAGATCTGAGTTTGGTTAGTATGGATTTTCCCTTGGCCCTTTCCAAACCCCACATGCTA